TAATAATAGTATATATTTGGGAATTGTTGGAGCATTAAATTACTTTAAATTACTTTAAAAATGCCATTGAAAATTTCGTTGAACATTTAATGTGTGTAATGAATGGATCCAACATACCATGTGATTAGATGATTAAACTTTGTTGAATTTCTTAAACAATAAAATTTTAAATTTATTAAATGTCTCGTAATAATAAATAAAAAACTGGTTTATTTTTACACAATTGCATTTGCAATTAGTTTTGTTTATTTAAATCATTTTAGAAGACTATTCCAAATATACAAAGCATATGATTCTATATAAGATATGCTATTGAATAATCTAGTATATATCCACCATGAGAATTTTGATTAAAACTATTAAAATTATAAAAAAATTATTTTTTATTTGAATGAGGCAAAAAAATAAGAAACATTTCAGTGTTGTGCAAAAAACATCGGAAATCAATTCACACAATAAATAAACGATGAAACACAGTATGGCTTACATAGTTTGACATAAATTTGTCTACGTCCATGAGGAGAGGTTATTTCACTATCAACAGGTGGGGAGAAAAAAAAATCGATCCATTTAAGATTACAACTCAATATTCCATATTAGCTTATATAAATAAGAGATGGTTAGGGTATACAAAATATGAATATTTCAAATACAGGAAAAATCATATATATATATATAGTGATAATTACATACAGAGTACAGAAACATATTGTTATTTACAAACCAAGCACCAAGGTGATTTTTTTAACTATGAAAGCGATGTATTTACGCATGTCACGATCAAACCATTGTGAATTTGATAAAAAAAAAAAAAAAAATGGGTTAGGGTTTTATCGTATCTTTGATATTTGAATAAGAATTTTAAAAAAGGATAAAAGAGGGGGCTTAATTAGTAAATAGCAATGTTTAGGATGCCTTGTGCGTAATTGCCCCATATACATTGAGATCTCCTCTAATTTGGTTTCATAATATGAAAGATCATATAATTAGAACTCCCCAAATTATGTTACTTAATATTAATCTTCCTAATATACACGCTTCCTAATTTACAACAATTGGATTTTAATATTTTTCATAACAATCTCCACCTCATTTCTTACTTCTAGATAAGTGAAAGATGATCAAAATGTGCTCCAACATGACAATGACCACGCCAAAATAGTTGCCTATGCACACCCTCTTCTGAAGAGATCAAGTCTCATGTACTTCTACATAATGCCAAAATAAACAATCAATCATAAGCTCGTATCGTACGTTCACCAAAATCTTACAATATGTGAACTTCTAGATTTGTAGTACAATATATGATGTTTTCTCTTTGTATCTGTCTTCTTCAATAGAACATTGTCATCATCAATAAATCCTAAACAATGTGATACTGTTACATCAATGTGCTTGATACTGGCATGATGAGCTAAATTTGTGGACAAGAATATCACACTCCGACTATTACAAAACACAGTTAGAGACTCCTGATAAACTCTCAAGCTATCCAGTCGACCCTGCATCCATATCTCTTCCTTCATCACCTTCATGACTGTCATGTACTCAGCCTTCGTAGTAGTCAAAGCAATAGTCGACTGAAAAATCGATCTCCAACTATCTAGACCTCTTGCCAATGTGAAGAAATAGTAAGTTGATGACATGCACTTATATATATCACCTGCATAGTCTGAATCAAAGTAACCAACACACAAATAAGAAATATATGATTGTTTTTCAAACACCAAACAAACATCAACTGTACCCTTCAGATATATCAGAATATTTTTCACAGTTTGTGAAAAACTCATTTATGGATCATGCATGAACTTGCTCATAATACCAACCGCTTGTCCAATATCTGATCTAGTACAAACCATGTCATGCATCATACTGCCCATTTTACTAGTATAACAAACCGATAACATATTTTTTCTCTTATGATCATCTTTAGAATATTGATATGAACTCAACTGAAAGTGAGATGCAATAAGTAGACTTACAGTCTTGAGTCATCAACCACAAAGTTCTTTAGTATCTTTGAATATATGTTCCTTGCGAGACCCAAAACTTTTCAACTGCCTTGTCCCATTGAATTTTCATGCCAAGAATTGTGTGAGCTTCACTCAACTCCTTCATTTAAAAATATTTGGACATTTGTTTCTCAATTTGAGTCTAACTAGAAAATACAATCAACACATTGACAACATGTAAAGGCAAATAGATGAAATCACAATTGTCCAACCTTTAAAATATGCACAATGATTGTATTAACTTTTTATGAACTCTTGTCTCGTCTTTGACAGATCAAAATTCTTATACAACTGTCATGGTGACTGTTTCAACTCATATAAAGTCTTATCAAATATACAAAATAAGTCTTTTGAGGCTCCATATGCAGGCAATGTAACATATAGATCTGCTCTTGTAATTCCTCATTTAGAAATGTATCTTCATAGTATGTTGCGCTAAAATTAAACCAAACTATGCTACAAGCTCTAAGATAACACGGATCAAGAGATCCTTGACTACTGAGGAAAGCACCTCGTCATAGTCAGTCCCTTCTCGTTGCACAAAGTCTTTTGCGACTAACATTTCCTGGTATCACACATCAGTTCCATAAGAAATTTTCTTCTTTGCATACATCAATTTGCACCCAATGTCTTTCCTTCCTGAAAGAAACTTCACCAGACACACTATTCCAAAGATACTCAATCTTATCATCCATTACCCCTTTCCAAAGATTACTACCTGAGTTCTCTACTGCCTCTTTACAATGACAAGGAATTTCAGCCTAATGGTTGAAAGTGCAAATGCAATATGATTCCTTCAAGGAAGCTGGTTTTGGCATATTCTGGCACCATGTTATGCTTCTAACAATAGATCTTGAGCATGAACCTCATCCTCAACATATTCTTCCACCTCCTCATGAGCACTGTCAATAAGCACTTTCTAAGCTGCAACTGAATCAGGCGCATGAGTAGGAGTGATGAATTCTGTGGAACAAATAAAGTTGCATCAAACTCTAACTTATGTTGTATATCTGTGGTCCTAATAAGACTCTTCACTTGATTTAAGTCCAGAGGTTTCAACAAGCTCAGCTCATCAACTAAAACATTCATGCTAATGACAATCTTCCTCTCTACCTGCTCGTAAAGTTTGAAACTCTTAACTATAAACCTGGAGCTAATGAAGATCGTCTTCTTTGCTCACAGTTCCAATTTATCATTCTACACATGATAGTAAGCCAGACATCCAAACACTATCATATGCTCATAATCTCTACCAAGACACCTCGAACATATTGTGATCTTTTTTTTCCAATAGTTGCAAAAGGTAGACGTATCACAAAGCGAAAAGCATAGTCTATAGCCTTAATCCAATAAACTCTATTCATCCCAGCATTAGACAACATACATCGAATTTTCTTCACTAAAGTCAAGCTGACCGAATTAGCCTTATCGAGTCGAAGTCAGGCTAGCCCAATCACCAAGTTATAGGACAGCTGAACAATAGACTCATATATATAAAATAACTAAAATATCTTATAACGCCCCAATTAAAATAGTGACAAAAATATAATATCACATGTTATGCCCACTCCCCTATAAGTATAAAAATTATTTTAGTTTTTTTTTTTCGCACACAAGTCTCTTAAATCACCTTTTTCACTCTTGTACTCTCATTCAAATGCAATCTTTAAAGGCTGATTACTTTTTGGGCATCTATCTCTATCATCTGCTCAACTCTTCTTCAAACCCTAAAGTGTATAATGGACATGAATGAACTTAGCAACATTTGGGTTCAAGTTTTATTTAACTTCTATTCATTGCGTTGCCTTTAATATTTGGAGGAAATAGATTTATAAATTTGCAGCCACTGTAATAAGACAAATCAGGATTCAGTTCACAATTTCCCTTTGCACTCCGCATGAAATCAGAACTAGGAGTGGAAATGAGCCGAATATGAGCGAGCCCAGGCTCAGCTCGTGATCGGCTCGTTTATATTCGTGCTCAAAAAGTGTGTTCGTGTTCGGCTTGTTTGCTTAGCGAGCCGAACACGAGCCGTTCACGAACAAAGAGTTATTTTGACAACCCTAATCACGTAATCATAAGATGTTAAGGATTGATGCAAGATTTAAAACATCATTTGAATCTTATATAATAAATTTTATTCTTTAGTTTTTTTAAAAGAAGTAGCCAAAATGTCTTGTGGTCAATTAAATTTTTTAAAAATACTACTTTTTACATACATACATACATACATACATATATACATACATACATACATATATATATATATATATATAAAATTGATTAGTAATATTTCGAGTCAAAATGAGTCGAACACGAACGAATAAATATTTATTTGTGTTGTTCGTGTTTAACTTGCTAACATAGCGAACGAGTCGAATACGAACTTAACTTTTTAAGGAGCAAAACACTCTTAGTTCGCCAAGAACCAGCTGTTTTGACAGCCCAATCAGAACTTCATATAAATGTTCAATGACTTTTCTAGGGATCACTACAATCAAAATGTCTAATGACGTTTTAAGAAAAAGACGGCTGAAAGCCAATCATCGCCCGCAAAATTTCATTTTAAATTTTCAGAAATTATCAGATCAAAAGTAAGTTCACCAAACTAGCACCGTTCGTCTTATCAGAAACATTCATCAGACGGTTAGAACTAGTGCTCGTAGCGCGTCGAGCAACGGTAAGCATACCACTCCACTGATCCGCTCATCCGGCATCCGCCCACCCGCACTGATGCGCAAAATGACGAAAAATTGCATTTTGGTGTGTGGACGGCAGCCATCGAAGGTGGCGAAACGCAGGGGAATCGCATGCCTTTATCGTGTTTTGTCTGCTCGAAAGCTCCGAAGATCATCAAGTGGGTGATGGGGAGAGGGAGAGAGGGTACTAGAGAAAGGACTTAAGGTCCCCAGTTCCCTTTCCACCTCCGAACAACCCGCTCTTCAGAAAAGGTTTAGCTTTTTTCTGTAATACCCTATTTTCTTAGCGATTATGTCTCTCTGTTTTTTTTCCCCAATTGATTTGCGCTGCTTCCATTTTGCTGCGGTTCATCTCATATTCAATTTCGGTAACTGGCTTGTTCGCATCTCATTTATTTCCTGGTTTATTCTTTAGAGATTTTTTTTTTCTTTCTGTTTTTGGTCCCCTCTGTGCCTGCTTGTTGCTTTTCCAGCTTAAAGTTATGATTTTGATTTTGGTTTGTTTCATGTGTGAAGTGATTCACTGTTTCTGGAATGAGACCTTGTTATGGATCTGTTCATTCTATATCTTTTGTTCTGTTCTTTGTTTTTACGAAGAAAATGTTTTAAAGAGAGTTTGGTGCAGCGTTTTCAGTCTACTTGGGGATCTGTTTCTAGCTTGAACAGACTTGTCTCCTATTTAAACTTCGAAAGATTTTTTTTTTCTTATAATAAATTCAAGTTACCTACCCTGTTATATCCCTACTAGAGATTTAAATCTCATTCTTTGATAAATTTCAGTGTTTCCTGCGTCGACCACAGCCTCCTAAAATGGTTTCAAGGTCCTATTCAAATCTCATGGACCTTGTTTCTGGTGATTCTCTGACCATTGGTCGCGTGGGCAAGAGGCTGCCTAGAGTAATGACTGTGGCTGGTATCATCTCTGATCTTGATGAGGAGAATACAAACAGTGTGGGTTCTGATGCTCCTTCTACAGTTTCCCAGGATAGAGTAATTATCGTAGGCAATCAACTTCCTCTCCGTGCTCAACGCAGGCCTGATAACCATGGCTGGAACTTTAGCTGGGATGAAGATTCTTTGCTTCTTCAGCTCAAAGATGGACTTGGAGAAGATGTTGAAGTTATCTATATCGGTTGCCTTCGAGAAGAGATTGATCCAAAAGAACAAGATGACGTCTCACAGACACTGCTTGAGATCTTCAAGTGTGTTCCAACCTTTCTACCACCTGAACTCTTCAGCAGATTCTATCATGGTTTCTGTAAGCAGCAATTATGGCCTCTTTTCCACTACATGCTACCTCTTTCCCCTGACCTTGGGGGTCGCTTTGATCGATCGCTTTGGCGAGCTTATGTATCTGTAAACAAGATTTTTGCTGACAAGGTGATGGAAGTAATAAGCCCTGAAGATGATTTTGTTTGGGTTCATGACTATCATCTTATGATCTTGCCCACTTTCCTAAGAAAAAGGTTTAATCGAATCAAGCTTGGATTTTTTCTCCACAGCCCGTTTCCTTCCTCAGAGATTTATCGAACTCTTCCTGTTAGAGATGAACTCCTTAGAGCACTCCTCAACTCTGATCTTATTGGTTTCCATACCTTTGACTACGCAAGGCACTTTCTTTCTTGCTGTAGCAGAATGCTTGGCCTCTCTTATCAGTCTAAGAGGGGTTATATTGGAATCGAGTATTACGGTCGAACAGTTAGCATCAAAATACTTCCTGTTGGGGTTCACCTGAAGCAGCTTCAATCTGTATTAAGTCTTCCAGAAACCGAAAATAAAGTTACTGAACTCCTTAACCAGTTCAAGGGTCGAACTGTCTTGCTCGGAGTTGATGACATGGATATATTCAAGGGGATTAGCCTGAAACTTTTAGCAATGGAACAGTTTCTCTTGCAGCATCCAGAGTGGAGAGGAAAGGTTGTTTTGGTGCAGATTGCCAACCCAGCGAGAGGCCGGGGAAGAGATGTTCAGGAGGTGCAAACTGAGACTTACTTGACCGCGAATCGAATAAATGAGACGTTTGGCAGGCCGGGTTATGAGCCCGTCGTTCTCATCGATAGCTCGCTCCAGTTCTACGAGAAAATTGCTTATTATGTCATAGCTGAGTGCTGTCTTGTTACTGCAGTTAGGGATGGCATGAATCTCATTCCTTATGAATACATTATTAGCCGACAGGGCAATGAAAGATTGGATCTGCTGCTTCAGTTGGACGCGTCGGACCCCAAAAGGAGCATGCTTGTCGTCTCGGAGTTCATCGGTTGCTCTCCATCTCTCAGTGGAGCCATTCGTGTCAACCCATGGAACATCGATTCGGTTGCGGAAGCCATGGAAACTGCATTGGCAATAAGTTATAATGAGAAACAGTTGAGGCATGAAAAACATTATCGATACGTAAGCACACACGACGTCGGTTATTGGGCGAATAGCTTCTTGCAGGATTTGGAGAGGACATGCCGAGACCACGGAAGGAGGAGGTGTTGGGGAATTGGATTCGGTTTGGGCTTTCGAGTCATTGCGTTGGACCCCAACTTCAGAAAACTTTTTGATGAAAGGATTGTTTCGGCTTACAAGAGAACGAAGAACAGAGCAATCTTATTGGACTATGATGGTGCCATGATGCCTCAAACATCGATTAACAAGACGCCGACTCCCGAAGCTATTGGCATATTGAATAGCTTGTGCCGTGACCCGGATAATTTGGTGTTTCTGGTAAGCGGGAAGGATAAGGACACTCTTGGTGAGTGGTTCTCTCCGTGCAAAAAGCTTGCGCTTGCTGCCGAACATGGCTACTTCATAAGGTAAACTCGTCTTAGATTATCTTAACTTAATTGAATTGTTGAATCTTGATTTGTACCATTAATCACATATTCACCCCCAAGGAATAGAATATAAGAAATGAGAGAGAGAGATAGAGAGAATCCCTTGTTTCCCAAGGAATAGAATATAAGAAATGAGAGAGAGAGAGAGATAGAGAGAATAGTGAACACCGATAAATAGTAAATTGTATCAATCATGTTGATCTTTTCCATCCTTTTTGGCTAAAATTATGTATCCCTTGTTCATGAAATGATCTCACTATTTGTAGTTAAGAGAGTACAATATGAGGATGTTTTATTTTTGCCACTATTTTGATGGGGTTTTGTATAGGGTATTCTAGGTATTTTCTATCGCTAGACTGTTCTCTTGCTTGTTTGGCTGAGCTTCAATGGCTTCAGCTCGAGAGGGTCAGTTCAATTGGCTAAGCTTAGTCGGTATTGTTGGTCGCTGAGCTAGTTTGGATTTCGGTCCTTGATAATAGATGAAGAAGCTTCTGGACACTTCCAATATGATTGGAGATGTTGAGGGGCTAGATCTTCTCTCAAGTCGGCTTCTTCATGGCTTCTCTTTTATGGCCGTGACTAAGTTAGCTTTGGCTTTACTTGTTGTGGCTCGGACGAATACGTTCGATCAGATAAGTGGATTTCTTGGTTGTTTGTGGGACTTCCATTGTCAGCTTCTTCATGGCTTCTATTTTCTAGCCGTGACTAAGTTGGCTTTGGCTTTACTTGTTGTGGCTCGGACGACTACATTCATCGGGATCAACACCAACACATTTTAGATGTACATGAACGTTCTTTTTTGTAGATGTTAACGTAAAAAACTTGCTTTTTGGATACGAATATATGATCTCAAGTCTAAGGAATGTTTTCTATTGCTGCTTTTAATTTGTTATATATTTTCAGGCAAAATCAAGACTCGGAATGGGAGACACATGTGGCCGTATCTGATTTCGGCTGGAAACAAATCGCTGAACCTGTTATGAAATTATACACAGAAACAACTGATGGATCGAGCATAGAAGCTAAAGAAAGTGCATTGGTTTGGCACTATCAGTATGCAGATCCTGATTTTGGTTCATGCCAGGCCAAAGAACTTCTAGATCACCTGGAAAGTGTTCTATCCAATGAGCCCGTTTCTGTGAAGAGTGGCCAACATTTTGTAGAAGTAAAACCTCAGGTATATTGAAATTACAGTCTCCACCCTGGTTAATTTTCTGCAAAATGTTTCCCCTCTTATATGAAAAACTGTTTGCAGGGTGTCACAAAGGGCATAGTTGCAGAGTGCCTTCTCTCATTGATGCAGAAGAAGGACAAGCTTCCCGATTTCGTTCTATGCATTGGTGATGATAGATCTGACGAGGATATGTTTGAGGTGATCAACAGTGCAAGGGAAGGACTCACCTTATCGCCTGTCGCCGAAGTGTTCGCCTGCACCGTTGGGCAGAAGCCGAGCAAAGCAAAATATTATCTCGAGGATACGATGGAGATTATGAGAATGTTGCAGGGCCTCGCCATGGCTTCAAACCAAATGGCGCTTGTTTCTTCTTCCCAGTCTCTCAGTATTCTTCAAATCATGTAATCCATATGTCATGTATATATCTTCTTTCTGCTATATTTTATATGCTTAGGTTGATATATGTTGTGATTTGAGTTGTGCCATTGTGACTTTAGTGGGTTGAGCTGTGCTGTTCTGATGATGCGGTCAGATTTTTTTTTGTGTCAATTTTTTATTGTTTCTATGGTTAAATTTGAGAGTTTGTTCTATCTGTGGAAGCTAATTAATGGAGGAAAGTGTGAAGCTTATTATAATATCTGCTTTAATTAGTGATTATGCATTTGTTATAGACTGTCGATTACGAGCAATGGCTAGCTGGTGACATTTTTGTCTCATAATGATGATGACCATTTTTGTCTACTTGGAAGTTTGTTGATAAGTATGTCTTTTAATATATGTTGCATGTTATTACATTTGTGGCAATAAAAAAGAAGATTAAAGTCTTACTTTGTATGAAAACTCATCAAATAAAAATTTCAATTGTTAGGTTATATTATATTTTATTATATTATGAAATTTATTATATATATATTTATATATATATATATATATATAATCATCATAATCAGACTTGAGCCACAACTATACTTTAATATAAATTGGGCCAAGCATTTGATATAATATTTCAAATAGTTAAAATGGTAACATCCATAACTTGAATAAAACTTAAATGAATACATGATGTAATGTTTATTCATGGCTCTTAATTATGACATAAATGACACACTTCTAATTTTTATGCCTCTTGGAATGCCTCATCTATTTATAAATAGATGAGGGGTTTTGTGGTAGATGATGGGTTTTGTGGGGGTGGTATGACCACTATAAGGAGATAGAAAAATCGAATCAAGAAGATCAAGAGGGGGAAGAAAATTCAGCAAGGAGAGGAAGAAGAAGTGAAGAAGTTTTAGAATTGAGAGAGAGGTCTTGTAGAGAGAGAGAGGTCTTGTAGAGCCATGATGATTCATCAATGTAATGAGCATGTAATTCTTTTTTTGTGCTAGTGAATTTAGTAGTGATTCCCTCCGTGGATGCCTTGTGTTTGCGTTCTTGCATTTCTTTTTCCCTGCATTTTTCTTCCTGTTTTGCCTGCTGCGTTTTCTCCTTCAGTTGTCCAGATTCTACAATTCAATACTTCGGTAGTTCTGTTCTCTAGCTATAGGGATTTAGTCGAAGATCAGGCTCAGGGAGGCGAACTGCAGGTGCTCTTCTAGCAGCAATCAAAGGTGTTTGGCTGTCTCCAAGAACAGTCCAGAAAGTGAATTGCAGCCAGAAGGGGGAAGGAGGAATCGGAGGAACTGTCCAGGTTCCACATACAAGGAGTTCAACATTCCATTTCTTATTTCTTGGTGTTCTTGACGGAGCAAGATTACAATAATTTGAAATCGTAATCATGCTGAAAAGATTTGGACAATATTATTAAATATCTTTTCTATCTAATTCAATCCATAAGGAGTTCTTTGGAACAATGAGGTTGTAGGTGTTCGGCGGAGCAAATTTTCACAATAATTGGCGCCTTCTATGGGAATTCCACCCACGACAATGGGCTCTGCAAAATTCGACATCGAGAAGTTCACGGGAAAGAACGACTTCGGTCTATGGAGAGTGAAATGAAAGCCCTGTTGGTACAACAAGGCGTTGTAGAAGCCTTGCAAGGCTTGGCGGCATTCTTGGCCGACATGACCGAGAAAGAAAAGAACGTGATTCTTGATAGGGCGTATAGCTTAATAACCTGAGCCTTGGCGATAAGGTTTTGAGAGAGGTTTCGAGAGAGACAACAGCTCAAGCACTTTGGACTAAACTCGAGGTACTCTATATGACGAAATCTCTGGCGAAGAGGCTCTTCTTGAAGCAGCACCTATATTCTTTCAAGATGCACGAGGAAAAATCAGTCTCGGAACAGATTGACGATTTCAACAAGATTATCGACGATCTCGAAAACATCGAGGTTAAGATGGATGCAAGGATAAGGCACTGCTACTGCTACTACTAAATCGCTGCTACTACTAAATTTCATTCCTAAGAGCAACGAGTATTTCAAAGATGCGATGCTCTATGGAAGGACGCAAACAATCTCTTTGGAAGAGGTTCAATCTTTGGTCAGAGCAAAAGAACTCCAAAAGAAGCTCGAGACGAACAAAGAAATTAGCGGGGACAGTCTTACCATTAGAGGAAGATCAGACTAAAAGGGCTCAAGAAACAATCAAAGCAGATCAAGATCAAAGAAAGGACAAGACAGAAGCCAGTCGACGAAAGGATCTTACAAGTGTTTTCAGTGCCATAAGGAAGGTTACTTCCGGAGAAACTGTCCGGAGAGGAAGAAGAAATTTCAAGAAAATCCTAAAGATCCTGGAGAAGCAAGCATAGCCTCAAATGAGTATGATTCAGTTGAAGCACTGGTGATCACTGAATCGAAATCCAACAATGAGTGGATCCTCGAATCGGGGTGCTCTTTCCACATGTGTCCTCAGAAGGACTGGTTCGAGACGCTGCAACTGGCAAATGGTGAGTCCGTACTACTTGGAGATAACAAGACTTGCAGGGTGGTCGACAGTGGAACAATTAGAATCAAGATGTTCGATGGAGCCGAACGAATACTGCAACATGTTAGGTACGTTCCTGAACTAAAAAGAAATCTGATCTCTTTAGGTACGCTGGAGTCAAGAGGATAGTGGTTCAAGGCAGAAAATGGTTGCATCAAAGTAGTCAAAGGCTCCCTCATCGTCATGAAAGGAGTTAGGAAGAATGAGCTTTACTCCCTAATTGGAAGAACTGTAATTGGCGGCTTCTCTAATGCAGTACGATCAGAACCTGACAGGACTAGACTATGACACATGAGACTGAGACATGTAAGTGAAAGAGACCTACAAGAACTGTCTAGACAGAACCTGTTATGTGGAGATCAAATCCGTAAACTGGAGTTTTGCGAACAATGTATGTTGAGGAAGGCTACCAGAGTGAAGTTCTCTACCGGAACTCACACATCAAAGAAACCACTTGATTATATACACAGTGATCTATGGGGCCCAGCCTGAACTCAAACTCATGGAGGAGGGAGGTACTTCATGTCTATCATAGATGACTAAACCAGGAATGTATGGGTCTTTATCCTTAAAACCAACAATGAAGCTTTTCAATGATTCAGGGACTGGTTAATTCTCACTGAAAACAAGATGGAAGCAAAACTGAAGCACTTGAGAACTGATAATGGCCTGATGTACTGTTCAGAACAGTTCAATGAGTTATGTAGGAAGAATGACATTATGAGGCACAAGACAGTCCGTAACACTCCTCAACAGAACGGCTTGGCGGAAAGGATGAATAGGACTCTCTTAGAGAGAGTGAGGTGCATGCTCTTAAATGCAGGCCTACCCAAATCTTTCTGGGGCGAAGCTGTCTCAACCGCTTGCTATCTTATCAATCGATGTTCATCGACAACTATTGAAATGAAGACTCCTTTGGAGGTAAGTATGAAAATCTCAAAATTTTTGGATGTATTGCATATGCTAATGTTAGACAGGATAAGCTGGAAGCAAGACCTTTAAAGTGCATTTTCATCGGCTATCCACTTAGAACCAAAGGCTACAATCTGTGGTGTCTATATCAATAGAAATGCATCATCAGTAAAGATGTGGTATTCGATGAGTCCAAAATGGCAAACATGCAAAGCTAAGTTACCAAGAACAGTACTACTAAGGAGGATACTCAAATTGAGGTGGAGCTGCAACAACAACAAACCTTGACGGATCAAGGGACTGTTGTAAATAATCAAGATGAAGCGATAGAAGACCAACAAGAAACTGAACTGAAGGCAAATCAAATGACTACAGGTTGGTAAGAGATATGCAGAGAAGAATCATCAGACCGCCAGAGAGATATAATCATGCAGATTTGATCTCCTATGCATTAAGCATCACAGAAATCGACATGGAGTCTCAAAAGAGAAGGGAAAGACACAAGTGGGTAGATGCTATGGATGAAAAGATAGCTTCTCTGACAAAGAACAAGACATGGTAACTTGTGGATCGACCAAAGAACCAACGTGTCGTTGGCTGTAAGTGGACCTTCCAAAAGAAGGAAGGCATCCTAGGCAGCGAGGAGGTCAGGTATAAAGCAAGACTTGTAGTAAAGGGGTTCACACATGTAGAACAAATTGACTTCAACAAAATCTTCATGCCCGTGGTAAAGCACTGCTCGATCATGATAGTTTTAGCACTAGCGGTTCAATTCAATTTGGAATTAGAGCAGCTAGATGTTAAAACAACATTCCTACATAGGAAGTTAGAAGAAACCATCTTCATGGAACAGTCAGAGGGGTACAACACTCCTAAAACCAAGGATAAAATCTGCTTGTCGAAGAAATCTTTTTACGGATTGAAACAAAACCCAAGACAATGATACAAAAGATTTGATGAGTTTATGTTGAGGATTGTCTTTGTCAGAAGCAGCTATGACAGTTGTGTCTACATGAAGAAACAAGATGATGATATAAGTACTTACTTACTCCTATACGTGGACGACATGTTAGTAGCCGGCGGAAGTAAGGAGGAAGTTTAGAAAATCAAAGGTATATTAAACTCAGAATTTAACATGAAGGATCTAGGACTTGCTACAAAGATCCTAGGGATGGAGATTACAAGAGACAGGAAAAAGGGCAGCTTATTCTTGTCTCAGAAGTCATACACTCAGAAAGTTCTAGCAAGGTTTAACATGCATGGGGCCAAGCAAGTTTCAACACCAATTGGTCAGCACTTCAGATTGTCAAACTCTCAAGCGCCTGAGAATGCAGATGAGAAAAGATGCATGGAGGGTGTCCCCTACGCCAATGGGGTTGGTAGCATCATGTATGTGATGTTTTGCAGCAGACCAGACTTGGCCTACACCGTCAGTATTGTCAGCAGATTCATGGCAAATCCAGGACAAGCTCACTGGAAAGCTCTAAAATGGATTTTGTGATACTTAAAAGGTACCACTGATTTGGGGTTGCTCTTTAAAAGACAGGAGAACAAAGATGAAAAGATAGTCGACTACGTGGACTCTGATTATGCGGGAAGCATTGACACTAGGAAGTCACTAACCAGATTCATCTTCACCGTCATCGGCATTGCAGTCAGTTGGAAGTCCAACCTTCAATCCGTGGTGGCTCTCTCGACAACAGAGGCTGAATATGTTGCTGTGACAAAAGCAACTAAAGAAGTTATGTGGCTAAAG